AGTCACCCCCGCATCGATCCTCGAGGGCTCCCCTCCGTCTGCAAAGCCCGCGACAGGGTGCCAAGACCTCTTGTGCTTTCGGCCTCTCTGGCCGCCTCTTCTGCCACCAGCCTGCGGAAACTCTCTGCCAGAGTGACGAATTAAGCCCACCCAGGCCATACCCTTCGTGACAGCTGCAAAATCACTGGGAGTAGTAATGCCAGGGGGTGACGGCCACTGGGGCCATCCTACAACTCTTCCAACCACACCTGCCTTCCCCACATGAACTAAATTTAAAGGCAACAGAACAGTTTTAATTTATGAGTCCAAGAAACAAATGTGGAAGGAAGAGCGTGCTTGGAAAACTCGCCATCTTGCTACTCCCTAATAACTGTTTCAGACGCAAATCGTCAGTGGGAAAGGAATAAATGGCAGATGACAGCTTCATGAGGAACCTGAGGGCTGAGCACACCTGAGCTCACCTAAAGACAGGACCAGAGTGACACCTACGTGCAGTGTCCCTCCTGCTGGACAGCACACGGCCCCACCTGTGAAGGACTCTCACCAAAAAGGTCAAACCTAAATGCAATGAGCTGCCAGAGCGCACTCCCCGTCTGCAGGAGACAGAGGACATGCGGGTGTGAGTCCAACGACGCCATGAAGAAGCAAACAGAAAATCCCAGAGCACAGAACGACCTACCACACAAGTGGCCCAGTCTCTTCAATGAGTCACTTGGGTTCTGATTCAAACTAACCAGGAAAAAGGCATTTTAATAAAAAAATGGAATATAAACTCAGCACCTGCGTCTACTAAGAATCTCCACAAATCTTCACTGGTTGGGACAGAGGAAGGCAGGGAGACTATGTAAGAAAACACGCACGTTTTTCGGAGCTGCATGGGGGCTGAGATGCTATGAGGAGCTCACTGATCGCTTTCAAGTATTTCAGCAACCACAAAAGGAGGGGATGAACAAAGCAAGTGTAGCAGAATGGGGGAAAACACTGAACCTGGTGATGGTACATGTTCGGGGGGTTGTTACTCTAGTCCTCTTTTGTGTATGATGAAAAATCTTCACCATAAACAATCTCACTGGCAAACTCTCATTCATTTAGCAGCTGCCAAGAACAAATCATCGTGTGGAGGGCTTTGCAGACATTTCCTGCTGCATCCTCCCAACAGCCTTATGAAGCAGCTACTATTGTGTCCCGCCTTTTACAGATAAGAAAACTAATGAAATGACAACCAGTTCGGGGTGTAGCCGACAAGTCTGCCCTTCACCCAGTCTCTCAGCACAGCCTCAGAGGCCAAGAAAATGAAAGGTCCCTACGTTTTTCATTTCACAAAACATTTTTACAAGCTGAGAAGAGCTCCCATGGGCCCAGAGTTCTGTGCTAACCACCGGCAGGAGGCGTATTGGAGGGGTGGGAAGTGAGAAGAGGAGTTGATAGGCAGGGGGGATGGAGGGTGAGAGAGAATCGAGTCGAGAGCGCCACGGAAAAGCCATAGGAGCAACACAGAAATCAACAAGGTGGCCGTGCGTGGAGATGGTCGAGGACAGGGGCGGACAGAACGGGGGAGAGTGGAAGGGAGGAGGCAGGTGCTGACATAGGGATCCAGGCCAAGAAAATGAGAGCGCCTCTCTCCCATCGAGGTCCTTCTTCCCCTCCTCCCCAACCACCAACGCCAGCCAGAACACGAGCATGCCACCGAGCATCGGAGGGCCCAGACAGACGGAGCGCTGGACACATTAAATAGGCAGCTGTGTCAAAACGGAATTAGAGGTTTCTGTCAGGCCATTTACCCCGTCCCCCTCCCCTCCCCCAGTCGGTCACTGTTCTTCTCTCTGAGCTTCCAAGTGTAAGCTTAGCTCCTCCTGGCCAGCTCCAAGCTCACAAATTGGAAGGAAGGGAAGAAGGAATTACTTATTTAAACAATGCCTTAATTTTTTAACAGCAGAGCTGAGATAAAATTCACAGACCATCAGTGTCCTGTGAAGGGGGTCTTGGGGAAGAAACTAAAGTTCAAGGCCACATTAATGCCATTAGCGCTCAGAACAAAGGTTCCTGCAGTCCGTCAGGTGAGGCTTTAACCAAAACAACAGCCAGGTCATGTCTGGGGGTGGGGGGTCATGTGTGTGTTGGGGTGATGCAGACAGGAAAGGGGTTACAGAAGGGAGAGCGAGCAGCAGCTAACACAGGGAGAAAGAACCCTCCACGTGTTTCAGGAAGTGGAGTGAGAGCTTAGGGTCTCCCGGCAGGGAGGCAGGTCTGTCACCATCCGCCAGGACGTCCTCATCACAGGGACCCACCCGCACGAAGGCAGACTGAAAAATCCCTCCCGCTCACAGCAGCATTACTCACGAGAGCTGAGAAGCGGAAACAGTGCCAATGCCCAGCAGTGAGTGGACGGACAGACAGAACGTGGCGTGTCCACACGCTGGAATAGTATCGAGCATAAAAGGCAATGACGCCCTAACCGCTGCTCCACACGACACGGGGGAACCTTCCAAACGTGATGCTGAGCACTCGGGGCCAACGGCCACACACTAGAGGATTCCATTCACTCAGAACGTCCACACAGGCCGATCCCCAGGGGCAGAAACCGCTCAGCGGGCCCCAGGGAGACCCTGCCAGAGGGCAGGACGTGTCTTCAGAGGACGTTGCGGGTGCCCCAAACGGGAGTGTGGTTGGCGGTCACGGCGCGGCTCTGCGCACCTGCTGAAAAAGTCCCTGAACTGTGTGCGCAGGGCCACGCTCACACCACGTAAACGAAATCTGATTCTCTTCTTTAATTAAAAATGCTACTAAAAGTAAATGTCTATAAATACAAATAAACTTTAAGAATGTAAATGTTTATGTTCTTTTACTCTAAAACTTTTTCATTTTAATGAACAATTTGTTTCTTTTCTCCCTTTCCTCTCAAAGATACAGTGCTTCTCTCTTGTTGCCATGAGTTTATTTCTTTCTTTTTTTGTTTATTTAGGTACAAGGTCAGAGCCGGAAGAGTTTCCCTACCGATGACAATAAACCAAACACCATGAAAACAATGAGAAGCAGCAATAGAAAAACGAGATGAAAGCCACACCCTTTGAAACAAGCCCTGAAGGTGAGGACGGCACAACTCTGCTTGGTTAAGGGATTTGAGCTTCCCACACACTGTCCTCAGAGCACAGAAAGGCTGCACTTTGCCCAGATCACGCGACTCACCTTCCCACCCCTTGTCTCACAGGCTGTCACAGAAGCGAGGTCTACTGAAGGTCCCCGGAGAGACTGGCTAACTTCGGCAGAGCAGGTACAAATTGGTTTACAAAAACCCAAAGACTTTCTGCCCTGGTTTCTGAGCAAAAAAAAGGGCATCATAACTTTCTGAAAAATGAACCCATCCAGTTCTCACCAGGCGGCCTTCTACAGCACATTTTATGTTCGTTCTTTCCTTCCCAACGGCCTTTGAAAATTATCAGAGTAGAGAACTGTGAATCAGGACAAGTCACTTCACCTACCTGAGTCTGCACCTCCTCACCTGTGTGTGGAGGGGCAACCCCAAATTATCTCTAAGAAGAGTCAGTGTCTCCCTGGCTGGTGTGGCTCAGTGGACTGAGTGCCGGCCTGAGAACCAAAGGGTCACTGGTTCAATTCCCAGTCAGGGCACATGCATGGGTTGCAGGCCAGGTCCCCAGTAGGAGGTGCTTGAGAGGCAACCACACACTGATGTTTCTCTCCCTCTCTTTTTCCCTCCCTTCCCCTCTGTCTAAAAATAAATGAATAAAATCTAAAAAAAAAAAAAAAAGTTTGTGTCCAAGGGGTCAGTCTGTGTTTATGACTTATGGGAACAGAACTGAATGCAGAATTACGAGTTCCAGGAAACTGTACTAAGACCTTAGTTTCTTGAAATTAATTTCTGCTAGTAGTAAAATAATTTAAAAACTGAGACTCAGTTCCTCAGCAAAACTTATCTGAATAACTGTGAGAGGCAAAGAAGGTGCAAAGAATGGAAAGGAGCATCCTATTCTCTCAGATTCTGCTCTGCGGATTTCAGGGAAAGACCCCAGAATTATCTGTCCATCACATCCCCATGGGCAGATTAACAATGCAGCCAGCTGGGAGGCCAAATGATGAGTCCATCCTGGCTGAGAATAAAATGTCACTTTGGAAATTTCTGGACAGCACGAACTGACTTCGGGAAACAGAGGGAGAATGGATGGAGACTACGGCTCCTTCCTAAACTGGCTGATCGCGAGTCACCTCCAAATAATCTGCCGGCCACTCGGAAGGCAGGTGAGAACAGAGCTCATTTCCTCACCGGCCCTGAAACTCCACACGGAAGCGCCTGTTCAGTCCCAGTCTCTCCGCGCACCGACGGTGGGGGCCACAGCGCACTCCCACACGAGCACACATCTGCACGCGCCAGGGCCAGCATCAGCCACAGCTGGGCACCGCCAGAGAGCGATGGGACCTTGACCTCTGTGTGAACAACAGGGGGCGTCCTGGTGCCCTGCTGGGCACAGACTCTAAGTGGGACCACAGGATAAATGTAACTGACGCGGAACCAACAAGAACGAAGGCATGCAAAACCCATAACCCAAGAAAACTGCCAAGATCAAGTCATCCAGCTCCACGCTTTGGAAGGAGACAGCCAACGGCAAGAGTGCGGTAATGTCTACGAAGGCACAGTTCCGCTCCCCGTGATCCCAGAAAGTACCAGAGCCCAGAGAGAGGCTGAGGGTCCCAGAGGTGCTTCCGAACAGAAAGGGCTTATTTCTGGTTTCCAGGTCCCCAGTTCTGGCAACCTCCCGAACCTCCTTAACCCAAGCTGGTCAGTTTCCCACGAGTTTATGCACCAGATACATTACTAAGACTGTAAGTAATCATTCAGTACCTGACCGATTACATGAAACGTCCTCCGTTCCCAGCTGGAGGTAGAAAGTGCAGAAAGCGTCGGGGGCTGCAGGTGTACATTCCCCCAGGGTCCCTGGGTACCACTCCTGAAGTTACGGCGTGCTAAATGAGCAAGCAGGACTTACCGATTTTCTGATTGAAAATCTTGTCAAAGGTTATTTCATTTCTCTCCCCAAGATACTTCTGCATCACGCTCCGGATACTAGAAGAGAAGAACAACACGGTTTTAACCATTACAGCCTGTACCATGCACAGCCACCACCAGATGGGAAATGCCTGATGTCTATTTTATCTGGAGGACGCTGGCTTGATGAGAGACGCTCTTAACAGACGCCCCCGACTGCTCAATGGCGGGCTCGCCAATGAGATGGGCTCGCCGCAGCGCCAGCTGTGACCCTCTCCTGCGTCTCAGGGCCAACCTTAAAATAACCTGTGGATGTGGGGACTGTGCCTCACTGACCGTTGACAGCATGACTTTCCAAAACATACATAAGCGTGCGCACACACGCGGCAAAGTTTGCTCCTCGATCAATGACCTGCTTTTCAAAGCAAAAGCTGAAGTTCTCTGGATATGATTAACATTTTTAAAAATCGCATTTCTGCACATCAACAAAAAATTACACAATCAGAAGCATGCTTTCACTTTCAATAAAATAAAAAACATCAAATGCCTTGAAATGAATCCAAAATATCTGAACTTTACAGGGAAAATGACAAATCACATTGAGAGACGTTAAGGAAGATCTTAATAAGTAAAAAGATACACCACAGTTACGAACAAAAAGATTTAATATTGTGAAAATCCAAAGCCTACCCAAGTTTATCTATAAAATCAATTCAGTCCCCCATCAATATCCCAACAGGATTTTTCATGAAACATAAAAACAGAGAAGCTCTTTATAAAATGTACACAAAACAGGCTCATGAATAGCCAAAACATTTCTGAAGAAAGTGGGTGACGATAAGAGGGCTTATTATGAGGCTAAAAGGATTAAGACAGGATGAACCAGTTGATGGATGAAATGGGACAGACAGCACATAAACCGAGCCACGCAACCATGGAATTCGGATACGTAATACAAGTAGCAAGGCAGAAAAATGGGGAGAGGGGGATTATTCAGTAAGTAAACCCCAAAAGTGATCATCCAAATATAAAGTGTAGAAACTGGATCTCCATCATCCACTGATGGGCAGCAATTTGATACTGCCTTTTTTTTTTAACTTTTTAAAATAAACTAATACAAGTACAATTTACATATAATTAAATGTATATTTAAGTGCACCATTAAATGAGATTTCACATATAACTATTATTCTGATCAAGATATCAAATATTTCCAACACCCCGAAAGGTGCCTCTTTGCAATCTTTCTGTTAATACAGGTTATTTGCTCCAGTTTGAGCATTTTATATGAACAAAATCATACATTGTCTTTTCTATGTGGCTGCTTTCACTTGGTGGAAGCAAGCTGCAACCATATTGTTGAATGCACAGGCATTTTGGGTTTTTTTGCATTGCCGAGCAGGGTATCCGCCACTTGTTTACCCATTCATCTGTTGACAGACATACAGACTGTTTTCATTTTGGGGTTACCATGGACAAAGCTGCTTTAAATATTTGTGTGTGAGTCTTTTCTCACGGGCACGTATTTTCATTTGTCAATGGTAAATATATGGAAGTGAAATTGTTGGCCCTACAGTAACTTATACTTAACATTATGAAAAAGTGCTGAATTACATTCCAAAATGGCTACACATGGTGGTCACATTCCCGCCACCGACAGATGGAGTTCCTGGGACCCCACGTCCCTTGCCAAGACTTCGGTTGTCAGTCTCTAGTTGGAGCCACTCTGTTGGGTGTGCAGTGGCATCTTCTATGGGCTCGTACTTGAATTTGTGTTTCCCTCAAGAGTAATAATGTTGAAAATGGCTGAACACGATTATCGGAATGTGTGTATCTTCCTTTGTGAGGTGTGTTTGAAATCTTTTGCCTATCTTTTCTGAGTTGTTTGCATTAAGAGTCAGTTGTAAAATTCCCTTATATAGCCTGGAAACAAGCCCTGTGTCAGCTCATGAGATAACAGTATCTTCTCCCAGTCCATACGCTGTTCCTCCTTTCCCCCACCAAGTCCTCCCTAAGACGAGAAGTATTAGTTGGTGAGTCCTAGTTTACTGAGCTCTTTTTCTGCTGGACAGTCTATGCTAAGACATCTTTCACAACCCACGTGAAATCCTGAAGATTTCAACCTACATTTTCTCTTAGAAATTGTAATGTTTCAGTTTTTGCATTCAGGTCTAAAATCCAATTTTTGCGTATGATACAAGGTATGATGGAGGTTCTTTTTTCCCTTATAATACCAAGTTGCTCTGCTATCGCTGCTGAAAAAACCACCCCTTCTCCAACGAGTTCCCCTGGCATCTGTGCAGATGCCAAACTTACGTGTTTGTAGGTCTGCCCTTGAACTACCCTGCGGCACTGATCTATATGTCTGTCCCTACACAGATACTGTATTGTCTTGAGTGTTATGGGTTTATAGTAAACCTCGAAATTGGGTGACCTGACCCAAGACTCCCAACTTTGTCTTATTGCTTTTGTTTTGTTTTCTGTTTTCTGGGTGGTTGTCAGTTTTGTTTTGTTTTTTTCCCCCTCTCTCTCCCCTAGGTTCTTTGCATTTCCGTGTAAGGTTTTTTGTGTTTTTTTTAGATTTTATATATTTATCTTTAGAGGGGAAGGGAAGAAGAGAGGGAGAGAAATATCAATGTATGGTTGCCTTTCATGAGTCCCCTGCTGGGAACTGGCCTGCAACCCAGGCATGTGCCCTGACTGGGAATGGAACCGAGATTGTCTGGTTCGCAGGCCCGCGCTCAGTCCACTGAACTACACCAGCCAAGTCCATGTAAGTTTTTTAAATCACTATGAAAATTTCTTCTCAGAAAAAGCTTGTTGGGGATTGATTGGGATTGTGTTGAACCTATAAATCAATTTTGGGAGAATTAACCCCTTAATCATATTGCGTATATAATCCATAAATATAACATATTTCTCCATTTATCTGGGTCTCCTTTAATTCCCCCTATCAATATCTTACAGCTTTTGATATAGAAGACTTGTCCTTTTCTCGTAATAATTTTCTCTGGTTTGGGGTCAGGAAAACGGGATTCATGATATGATACGGGAATTATTCCTTTATTTTCTGAAAGAGATGGTGTAAGATTCTATGAATTCTTCCTTAAATGTTGACTAGAACTCATCAGTGAAGCCATTTGAGCCTAGAATTTTCTTTGTGGGAAGGTTTTAAATTAAAAATCCCACTTCTTCATAGACACAGGGTTATTAACACTTTCTATTGCCTCTTGTATTAGCATTGATATCTTGTGTCTTTTATGGATGTGCCCATTTCATCCAACTTGTCGAATGGACTTCAGAGTAACTAGAATGAGTGAAAGCGGCCAGATCTGCGAGAGAAGGAGAACACAGCATCTGATCACAAAGGGGCGGGAGGGACAGGAGCAAACGCTGGGTGGGATGTATGCGGTCAAACTTAAAGTATCTGTATCTGGTCTTTGTCCCAGTTCCAGGCCCAGAGCTCCTGAAACCCTTGTAGGAGGAGTGTCTATTCACAAGGAGCACTTTTCAGCCGCACCTGAGTTTATGCTGATGAGGTGGCCCTTTGACAGCTTCACGGGGCTGGTTGCCAGAGGAACCAACCAACCACCAACCAACCTCGAGATAAGAGGGGCTGGGACCTTCAGCAGCACCATTAGATTTCTGGGAGTCTAGAGATAAAGTTCAACCGCCCATAGCCAGTGATTTAATCAATCATGCTTACAAAATGAAACTTCAGTGAAAACTCTAGAATGATGCAGTTTGGACAGCTTCTGTGCTGGTGAACCCACAGGTGTGCTGGGGGGGCGGTGCTCCTGGATTGGACATGGAAGCTGTGGGCCCCCTCCCCACCGAGCTGGCCCCAGCTAACGACCGTTTTCCAGTTCCGGAGTTGTACCCTTCACAGTAATACCCATCCTAAGCATAACACTTTCTGGGGTTCTATGAGTTGTGGTAGTGAAAAATCAAACCCAAGGGGAAGGTCACAGGAACCTCAGGTGGGAAGTCAGCCAGGCAGTAAAGCAGATAAACCTAGGCCCCCATCTGCAGCTGGTCTATGAAACCAGCCCGTCTTGTGGGACTGACCCCTCAGCCTGGCGGGTCCAATGCTGAGTTGTTGGTGTCAGAACTGTTTTGACTCGCGGGACACCCAGGGGGTGGCAGAGAACTAAAAACTGTTGGGAGAGGACATAATGCGCATGTCCCAGACCTTAATTTGGGTCATGGCTTCACAGGGGTAGACAAAACTTACCCAGGTGTGTATTTGAAATACATGCCATGTATTTCAGGTTAATTATACCTCCAAAGCTGCTTTGTAAAAATTATACCACAAGAATGCAATCAGCACAATTCTGGGTGTGGGAAACGCTACACAACAGATGACCTGGTTTCCTTCACAAAAAAGTTCAAGAGGAAAAATGATGGATGGGGAGCCTGTCTATTGTTCAAAGACGACTTAAAAAGAAATAACAAATAACCATCAGGCATGGTGTATGGACCTTAGTTCAGCCTCAAGTGAAAACATAACCGTGTAAAAACTGATGAAATGTGACTACAGATTGAATAGTTAATGATATTTAGGAGGCACTAGCTCTTCAGCAGCAGCAGTGCATTATTACGTTTTGGTATCTTTTTTTAAAGATTTTATTTATCTTTAAAGGGGAAGGGAAGGAGAGAGGGAGAGAAATATCAATGTGTGGTTGCCTCTCATGCATCCCCTGCTGGGAACTGGCCTGCAACCCAGGCATGTGCCCAGACTGGGAATCGAACGGCGATCCTCTGGTTCGCAGGCCCGCACTCAATCCACTGAGCTACACCAGCCGAGACACGTTTTGGCCTTTTAAAAGTTATCTTTCAGGAAAGCCGGCAGAAGTATATACAGATGCAAGGACACGCCACGTCTGGATGTGCTTCCAAACCACCCACAGGGACCGGAGGGCGTGGATGCACCGAAACCGTGACGTGTTGGTAACTGACAAAGCCCAGTGACGGTGACATCAGTTTCACTGTATTATTCTCTCCCTCAGTATGCGTTTGGCATTTTCACGGCAGAAGTTTTTTGAAAATTCCAATTCTGGCCTCCAGATTCCTGGACT